AATATTAAAATTTTTTTTAAAAAAAGACAAGTACAGAAAAATATGTATAGTAAGCTACCATTCATCTAAAGTTTACAAAATATGTATATATTTGCTTATGTTAAATACATATTAGATAAACTTACAAAAAGAAACTACTTAGATGCAGGTTGAATTATAAATGGAAAAAAAATTCAAAAAAATAAAAAATAAAACTGAGATGTCAATGAAAAAAAAAAAAAAAAAAGAAACTACTTATAAGAAAAGGAACTAGATGCCTCTTGCTAAATCTAGTTTTGTAGGTTTGGTTTTAGAATTATGTAAATATTTTAATAATGATAAAACAAAAAATTTTAAAAATCAATTCTTCAAATCAAAAGCAAAATGTAATGAACTAGCCTAAGTTTCTATCAAGTTGTTGGTGTAGCAATACAGAAAGACTATTTTTAAATGATTAAACATAGTCATTTGACTGTATATCCCTAGTGGGATCTCTAAGAACAAAAGGAACTTTTAAAATATCAGAAACTCGTTTTAATAATCTTACAGTTGTTGGGAGTGCTGGCACTGGTATACAGAGACTGTTGGTGTGTGGATTATGAAATAAAGCAAATGAGTTATGTTGGAGTTTCTTAATGTTTAGCACAGGAAAAAGAAGCTAAAAATGTCAGATTAAAGAGACTAAGTAAAATTTTGTAGTTTTGAATTTGAGTTGGGAGTAGGTTTTTTCTAGGTGTGGTTCACAGTTTGCAGTGAACCATAACTCTCAAATTTTGGATACTAAATACTATTTCTTGGTTCGAGGAACCAGGGATCCTTGGAGAAACGGCTGATCCCAGATCTGGGGCAGGAAATGTACAATGTATCAGAAAGCAAAGAAGCTCTCAAAGTCATCTGTCATGTCAAAAGATCTCAGAGGCCAAACTAAAGAGGACCCCACTAGCCAAAGATGAGGCCATCAATAAGAATAACCTCCCTCACTCTTCCTTCCTCCCTTCACCTGACCCCCCTTCCTCTATCCTAGCGACCGCCCTTCTACTTTCATTAGGTCCCGTTTTTGCCTGTTTCCCCCCTTTAGCTTCCACATATAAGGGAACACATGCATTTTTCCTTTCTTAAACTTGGACTTACTTAAGCTCAGACTTTATCTCTGAGTCTGATTTAGTTCAGTCAAAATTATGTTCTCCAGTTCTGTCCATTTTCCTGCAAGTGACTTAATTCTGTTGACAGACACCTATGCTGATTCCGTAATTTGGGGCTATTATGAATTGTGCTTTAATAAACATGGGTATGCATGTATTTCTAGAGTATGTTGACATTAGTTCTTCTGGATAAATACCAAGGAGTCATAGAGCTGGATCATGTGGTAGTTCTATTTTTAGTTTTTGGAGGAACCTCCATACTGATTTCCATAGTGGCTGTATTAATTTATATTCCCACCAACAAAGTATAAGAGTTTCTTTTATCTGCCATCCTCCCCAGCATTTATTGTTATTTGTAATTTTGATGCTTTGCCATTCTAACTGAAGTGAGATGAAATTTCAGTGTAGTTTTAATTTTCATTTCCCTGATGGCTAAAGAAGTGAGCCTTTTTTCATCTAATTGTTGACCATTCGTATTTCTTTCTCTTTTTTTAAATACTTTTTAGTTGTCAATGGGCCTTTATTTTATTTATTTATATGTGGTGCCTTATACATGCCAGGCAAGCGCTCTACCACTGAGCCACAACCCCAGCTCTGTATTTCTTTTGATGAGTGTCACTTCAGTTCATTTGCCCATTTATTGATTGGGTTATTTGCTTTTTAAAAAATTTTGAGTTGTTTGAGTTCCTTATATACTCTGGATATTAAAACTCTGTCCAAAGAACAGCTAGAAAAGATTTGCCCTCATTCTTTTTTTAAATTTTATATATATATATATATATATATATATATATATATATAAATAGTTGTTGATGGACCCTTATTTTATCCATTTATTTATATGCACTGCTGAAAATCAAACCCAGTGCCTCATACATGCTAGGCAAGCTCTCTGCCACTGAGCCTCAATCCTAGCCCCTGATATTTCCCCCCATTCTGGTAGGTTCTCTCTTTACTCTGCTGTTTCTTTTGTTATGCCATGTAAAAGCATTTATTTATTTATTTGCTTGTTTATTTATGTATTTATACCAAGGATTGAATTCAGGGGCACTGTACTACAGCTATGTCCTCAGCCCTTTTTATTTTGATTTTGAGACAGGATCTTGCTAAGTTGCCCAGGCTGGTCTCAAACTTATGATTCTTTCTACCTCCATCTTCCAAATCACTGGGATTTCTATCACCTGCAGAAGCTTTTTAATTTGATGCCATCCATTTGTTGATTCTTTCCCTGATTTCCTGAGATATAGGGGTCCTATTGAGTCAGTGTGTTTTGAAGTGTTTTCCTTGTTTTTTCTTCTAACACCAAAGACCTGGTCTTATACTCAGATCTTTGATCCATTTGAGTTTGCTTTTGTACAGGGTGAGAGATAGGGATCTAGTTTCATTCTTCTACATATGGATATCTGATTTTTCCAGCACCACTTGTCAAAAAGGCTGATTTTCTCTATTGTATGTTTTTGGCACCTTTGTCAAGAATTCAGATGACTGTAGCTGTGTGGGTTTGTTCTCTGTGTCTTCTATTCTGTGCCATTAGTCTACATTATCTGTCTATATACAAGCACCAATCTGTCGTTATTATTGCTCTGTAGTGTAATTTGTAATCAGGTATTGTAATGCCTCCAGCAATTGCAAAGTCAACATCATTCTAGATGGGGAAAACTAAAAGTATTTCCTCCAGAATCAGGAATAAGACAAGGATGTCCACTCTCACCTCTCCTATTCAATAAGGTACTTGAAATTTTAGCCAGAGTAATTTAGGAAAGAGAAAGAAATAAAGGGGAAACAAATAAGAAAGAAGAAGTCAAATTACTCCTGTTTGAAAATGATATATCCTATAATAACAGTTCTACCAGAAGACTTCTAGAGCTAATAAACAAATTTAGTAAAGTAGCCAGATACAAAATCAACTTATAAAAATCAATAGCTTTTCTGTATAATGGAATGAATCCACTGAGAAAAACATCAGGAAAATAGTTTCATTCACAATGGCTTCAAAAAGTAACAAAATATCTAGGAATAAATCTGACCAAGAATGTGAAAGACCTCTACAATGAAAATTGTAGGACACTGAAGAAAGAAATTGAAGAAGATGGTAGAAAGGGAAAAGACCTTCATGTTTATGGATAGACAGAATGAATATTGTTAAAATGGCCACATTACCAAAAGCAATTTACAGGTTCGATGCAATTCTCATCCAAATACCAATTCTTCACAGAACTAATAAAAATAATCCTAAATTAATATGGAAATTCATATGATAAAATAAAGGATCCAGAATAGCCAAAGCAATCCTGAACAAAAAGAGCAAGTACAGCTTCTAATGATTACAAGTAAAATAGATAGGAAGTACTGAACCAATAATGAGATTTAATATTGCAACATAGGGAATTTATGAAGATCCTGATTCATGCAAATAAGAGAGACAAAAGCAGACAGAGATGGAGAGAAGGAGGGAGAATAGAGGAAGGAAAAAAGAGAAAGACAGTATGAGAAGAAGGAATATGGAGGCAATGTGAACCATAACTACTGTTCACAGTAGCCAGGATGTGGAATCAACCTTAAACGTTCATTGTTAGAATAATGAATAACGAAAATGTGTTCTGTATACATAATGGAATACCATTCTGCTCTAAAAAAGAATGAAATCCTTTCATTTGCTACAGTATGGACGGAGTGAAATAAGTCAGGCAAACACTGCATGATCTGACTCCCATGTAGACTCTCAAAAGTTAATGTCATAGAAATTGAGAGTTTGCAGAGGCTGGGGAGAGAAAAGGTGAGGGCAGCTGTGAAGAGATTGCTCAGTGTGTTAGTTAATAGGAAGGAGAAGTTGTGGTATTCTATGACATGGTAATATAGTTAAAAATAACATTCTGTATATCTCAAGATAGTTGAAGAGAAGATTTTTGAATGTACTCACCATAGAGAAATTTGATAAAAGTTTAAGGTGATATATATGCTAATTACCCTGATTTAATCATTGCCCAATGTATATATATAAATCCAGATATCAAATTGTAAGTCATAAACATGCACAAATTTTGCCAGGCACAGTGGTGCATGCCTATAATCTCAGCGACTCAGGAGGCTGAGGCAAGAGGATGGCAAGTTTGAGGCTAGCCTGGGCAACTTAACAAAAGCTTGCCTCAAAATAAAAAAGGGCAGGGGATGTAGCTCAGGGGGTTCAATCCTCATAACAAGAAAAAAATTAATAAATATGTACAAATTTTATGTGCCAATCAAAAAATGAAACAAAATTTTTAAATGGTTTCTAAGTTTTACAGGTATAATAATGAAACTCTATGTTTCTTTAAAAGAATTCTTATATTTTAGTGATACATACCAAGGTAGTGGAATGAAATGATATGTGTACTTTGCTTTGTGAGGAAATAATAGGAGAGAATACAGATGCAATAAGAATCATTATTCAAGCCAGGCGTGGTGGAGCACACCTGTAATCCCAGCAGCTCCAGTAGCTGAGGCAGGAGGATCTTGGGTTCAAAGTCAACCTCGGCAACTTTTCGAGGCCCTTAAAAAAGAATGGTTGTTCAAATTGGGAGCTTGATGCATGGCTTCATTACACCATTCTCTCTTCTTTTATCTATATTTAAAACTTACATTATGAAAACATTTTCTTGAAAGAAAGCCTAGGCTCACTTTTTGTTCACCCTTTAGTTTATTCCCTGCAGAGATTGAAAGTGGACCGATCACCATGACCACTTATGACTTAGCATATCTCCCAGTTTTCAAACCAGTAATTTTGAACCCAGTAATTTCCAAAGCTGATTTTTTTGTTGACATTGTTGTTTTAATTGAAAAGCTGTGTCCCTGCTGTTGGTTCTGGGGAATGCTGACCAACACTGATTTTTTGCTTTTCAGGTTCTGGTATCTCCAGCTATGGGAATAATCCTCAAGACGCTCCCAAAGCCTTTGAGGATTGCATGCTAAAAGTCAAGGGGCAGGTCCCAGAGCACCTCCACGGATCCACCCGAATTTACCTAGGAGCCACGGCTGGGATGCGCTTGCTGAGGTAAAGGCTGAGTGGGGCCAAGGAGCTCCCATGACCAAAATAGCCAAGAATGTGTTGAATCTTGCCAAGAACGTATCTCTGTTTCTGGGAACAAACCCAAGAGAAAGAAGCCCATATTCTGCCTTAAATTTAGGCTTTCACAATTGGGAAACATTTAGTCTTTATTTTAAAATGCAGAAAGAAACTGTTCTAAAATTGATTCCCTCTACCTTTGTGATTTTACTGAGAACTCTGGAAAAAGAAAGATGACCGACATCTGCTTTAGAAAATAGAATTGTTTTGACACCGAGAACAGCCACTAAGATGTGTGATAAGTGGGACCTCTAGCCATGTAGCTTCTTCCCATGCACAAAATGTCCCTGAAATCAGCTTTCAAACAATGGGATGTCTGCTTCTCACATCAGTCAAAGCCCTTTGGACTTGTTATGAAACAAACATCCTATTTCATTCCATAAATTCATGCTAAATTTGCAGCTATGAATTTTAGCCCCAGTGGCGTGTGGTTTTTGAATGTCTCCTTCCCCTCTCTCCCCTCCCCCCACCTTTGATAGAGTATTTCCTTAACCTTGCATTAAAAAGAAACATCAAACATAAATCCATTCACAACAGAGGCTGCTCCAAGTGTTGGAAGCGAGGCTTGATCTTGATCACCAGTAGACAAGACTCATTCAGCTCCAAAGGCACTTTGTCCATGATCCCAGTCATGGAAAATTATGCATGTTTGGGCATGAAGAAAATAGGAACAGACAGAAGTGCTTTAACATGATCATAAAGAGAAATCACAGCATGCTCACAGTTGGATTGGGTCTTCTCCATGAAGTGCCCCTGTTCTTGCTTGTGGCTTGAAGCATTGGTTTTTCTTCTTCCTGAGCCAAGAGTAAGCCAGTACCCCCGGGTTTTCTTAAACCACTGATGAAGGAGGAAATAATCTCCCAAGTGAGCTTTCTTTTATAGGGAAAATGGCGGCAGATAGGTGCTATAATGTCATGGGTGATATAATAATGCCATGTTGCCTCTCCTCTGTGGGTCAAAATACTGATGTTTTAATCCAGTGACAGCTGTAATGACCCTCAAATCCCCTCAAAATGAAGCCCTCCCAAAGGGTGAAGCAGGCACAGCTGAAAACTCAACCTTATCCGCTTTCCCCCCTGCCTCCTAAGAGATTAATTACACAACCCCCATGCCTTCCCTAGTTTCTCTCTCTCTCTGTCTCTGTTTCTGTCTCTCTGCCTCTCTCTCTCTCTCTTTCTCTCTCTGTAGTACTGGGGATTGAACCTAGGGATTCTCAACCACTGAGCTACATCCCCAATTTATTTATTTATTTATTTTACTTTTAGACAAAGTCTCACTAAATTGCCCAGGATGGCCTCAAATTTGAGATTTTCCTGCCTCAGCCTCCCAAATTTCTGGGATTACAGGTGTGACCCACCACGCCTGACTAGATGGCTCTTTTGATTAGCTGATTGCTAGAGAACGAAACAGGAGCAGGTGGGGTTGGGGAAAACAGATTGTACTTTTATGGAGTTTTCTTTTCCTGCTTGGCCAGTTTAAGAGGTCACTGCCTTCTCAATTGCCTTGGCAGGCTTCAACTTGCAAAAGAGATTGCCTGTGTATTGCACACATCTGGAAAAATGCCAGCCGGGGGTTGTGGGGGTTTCCCTTATCACCTGAGGGAGACTACTTGACTGTGTCGTCTAGGCACTCAGCCTTTTGTGTTCTGTGCCTCGCATAGGTTGCAAAATGAAACAGCAGCTAATGAAGTCCTTGCAAGCATCCAAAGCTACTTCAAGTCCCAGCCTTTTGATTTTAGGGGTGCTCAAATCATTTCTGGGCAAGAGGAAGGGGTATATGGATGGATTACAGCCAACTATATAATGGGAAATTTCCTGGAGGTGTGTGGAAACAAATGCATGGTTTTTAATCTTGCTGTTTATCTTGTCCCTTGAGGGAGGTAGTTTAAGCAGAAATACCCGCCAATGGAGCATTCCTGCCGTGTGTGCACTAGGGAAACACAGTTGCTCAAAAAAAGCATTTACATAGAGCTGGGTGGGAGGGACCATGGATCATAAATAGGACCAAATGCATGGAGGAGGGGGAATATTGTCACTTCACTAGCTTGTTAGAAATTGGGGAGAGGGATCTAAATTTAATCCTGCTACTGCACATGGACTTTTTGAAGGCTCCACGGCCATCTGGAATTTGCAGCACCCTCAGTCAGTCTGCTTCCCTGAATCCCCAGAGAGAGAGGGAGTCCTCACTCTGTGTTCCCAGGCCTCTTTACAGTCCGGTCCTTATACTTCCTGCTCCTTGGGTGCAAAGGAATGTTATATATGATGCAGAGGATCCAGAATGAGGGTACTCAGATCCTATCCTATCCAAGTCCCATTTTGTCCCGGCTTGAATGTATTTTTAAACTTTTTTAATTGATTGCTGTGGTTAATATTTGGGAAATTTCACATGAAAATCTACACATTGATATCCTCACATCTGCCACTGGAGGAAATGGTCACCATGGACTCCCCTTCCTGCATGGCAACAGAGCGCAGCTTGGGGACTCACATAGTGTTTGTCACAATCCCCACCAGTCCCCATGCCAATCACCTAATCTGTTTCACTCATTTATGACTCATCTGTGTTATCTGCCAAGCTCCTGGAACCATTTGAATTCACCACCCCTGAAATAGAAGGAGAGAAGTGGTCCTGAATGTTCCCTTCTTAGCAAGAGGAGTTGGGTCTTGGGCGGAGATCCCTGGGCAAGAGATGGTGCTTTTGGCCTTTCTTCTCACTTCCTTTTCCCACTGTGCAGAAGAACTTGTGGCACATGTGGGTGCATCCACATGGAGTGGAAACCACAGGCGCCCTGGATTTGGGCGGTGCCTCCACCCAGATATCCTTCGTGGCAGAAGAGAAGATGGGGCTGAACATCAGTGACATCGTGCAGGTGTCCCTGTATGGCTACACATACACACTGTACACACACAGCTTCCAGTGCTACGGCCGGAATGAAGCTGAGAAGAGGTTTCTGGCGATGCTCCTGCAGGTACCTGAGCTGGGGGATGGCAGGTATTTCCTTGAGGGTTTGAGCCCAGGGGAGTGTGCCCTGATTTCTAGTGCCTGCCCTTCTCACTTCAGTTGGAAGGTGATTGGAAATAACAGCATTTTCTAATTGGCTCTTCTGTGTCTAAATTCTCACTGTGTTTTTTGACCACTTTCCAGTGAATTTGAGTAAGAAGTCCAGGGAAGATCCAGAGTTCCAGATGCTTTATAAATGATTCAAGACCTGGGATCCCTTTATGGACACAAACTGCTTTAAGCCAATAGCTACAGCAGCCTGAGAATTTTGAGACTCCCCTGGGTGCAGACAAAATGATATTAGTGATCACAAGAGAAATACTTGCTAGAAAGAGAGGAGGCAGAGCTTGTGCAGGCACAGTCTTCTTTCAGATGGGTCTATATTAGGCATCTGGATATCCTTTAATAGGTGGGACTGTAGAGCAACCAAATTCCATCATTATGGTGAAGCCCCGGGGCACAGAAGGCTACCTGGGATATCAGCTGGAAGGCTGCCACTAATATTAACTCAACATCAGTGCAGTTTGTTTCTTTTGAACTTCAAAATCATTTTAAGTACTAACAAAAAGAAATTATTCATTGAGATTATGATGGCAGTTGTTTTGGCAATTATATTTGGTAAAATTATATTTAAAATATATCGGTTTGGGCTGGGGTTGTGGCTCAGTGGTAAAGTGCTTGCCTAGCATCGTGAGGCACTGGGTTCTATCCTCAGCACCACATAAAAATAAAATAAAGATATTTTATTAGTTGTGTCCTCCTACAACTAATATATATATATATATATATATATATATATATATAAATTTAAAAGATATATTTGTTTGGTAAAAATTATTAATGATATTAAGAATTTCTATCCAGAATTATTGATATCTTTTCATTTATTTAATGAATAAATGAAAAGATATTAATAGGGCCTCCCACACCCTAGGCGAGCGTTCTACCGCTGAGCCACAACCCCAGCCCCATCTTTTTTTCTTTATTTCATTTTGAGACAGGATCTTGGTATGTTGCTAAGGTTAGCCTCAAACTTGTGATCTTGCCTCAGGCTCCTAATTGCAGTAATCAGCTGGGATTACAGGTGTGCGCCACTGTACCCAGCCTTCAGTAAAATTTATAGTTTTCATCATTTCTGTGCCTTTGTTGTTAAATGTAGTTTGTGTGTTTATTTTTAAATTTTTTTACTTGTAATTAACACATTTTAATTCTACATATTAATGAGATTCACTGTGATATCTCTATACATGCATTTATTATGCATCCACCTCTTCTAGTTTTTATCAGTTTTTTTCATATTTTTTATAGTCTCTGTTTTTGTTTTTTTTTTTCCAATTTCAATTGGATTTACATTAAGAACAAATTATGCTGTGGTTTTCTAGTGGAGCTTTTCTCTCAAACCCATTGATTGACCATGGCAGCGTCCTCAAACACTAGGAATGGTGAAGACTGTTGATTTTTGAGCGCCTAAATTGTCACATTGGCTGATTGAACTTAATGCCATAACAAATAATTCAAGAACAAAAGATAAATGATAACTAGTATTTACTGAGCTTCTTAGCACCTGGCTTTTGCTGATGCTGGCTTTGAACTCACTATCCTGCCTCAGCCTCCCTAGTCACTGGGATTACAGGCGTGTGCTATCACACCCAGCCCAATCCTGCCTTGGTTTTTATATAAAACAGATCACAAGCCATAAATGCCAAGCCATAAATGATTTATACTATTTCAGTCATTTAAAAACTATAAGTCAGATTGTGAAGTTGATACTAAACACCAAGTTGATTGACATGATTTTTTTTCTCTTTCAACAAATATTTCAGCCATAAGGTGACCGGGGTATACTAGAATCCAAATTGGCTACAACAATTTGTGAAAAATCACAGGTTTTTTTCACCCATTGGAGCAGAAAGGGATCTTATTACCTCCTTTGTAGACATGTGAAGATCTTTCTGGAAAACACTCATGGGAGTGAGATTGGATGAGTGTTGAACTATAGAATTCTATGCAGAATCCTGTTACTGACCTTTGTTAGACAATTGCATTATTTTGTTGTGTACCTCAGTTTCCCCATCAGTAAAATGCAAGGTTGGGCTGAATGTTGTAAGTCAGATTTTACTGTAGGAAAAGTACTATACTTTAATGGCTCTGAAATTGAATAGAGCTCAAATTCGATTCCTTATAAAAGGGAGTCCAGAAATAGAACCAAACCCAGTTAGGAATTTGTCATAAGATAAAAGAACACTTTACACCCACGGATAAGTTTGGATAGCTATCTAGAAAAGGTAAAACCAGGTCCCTGACTCAGTGTGTATTTTTTGTTGGTTTGTTTGGTTTTTGTTTTTCTTTTTTTGAATGGGGTTGTTTTTGTTTGTTTTAGTACTGAGGATTGAATCAGGGACACTGGACCACTGAGCCATACCCTCAACCCTGTTTTGTATTTTAGAAACAGGTCTCACTGAGTTGCTTAGCACCTGGCTTTTGCTGATGCTGGCTTTGAACTCACTATCCTCCTGCCTCAGCCTCCCGAATCACTGGGATTACAGGCTTGTGCTACCCACACCCAGCCCAGTCCTGCCTTGGTTTTTATATAAAACAGATCACAAATGGATCAAAGATTTATGTGGAACAAGGAGATGTGTGTGGGTGTGTTTTGGAAAAATGATTGGAAACCAGTCCGAATCAACTGCTAGAGGGTGTCCCTAGCAGTTACTAAAAAGAGGCCATCTACACATACAGTGAATGGAAAGATCCCAAAGATATATATTTTAAATAAGAAAAGCAAAGAGACGTGTATTCAAGGTGTTATCATTTGTGTTTTTTTTTAAAGGAACAAAAACAAAATATATTTGCATATGCACATAAGATCTCTGAAGATTACACACAAAATTGGCCATAGTAGCTGCTTTCAGAGAGGGCTCTAGTGACTGGAAGCAGGTGGCAGGGAGCCTTCATTCTCATAATATGCTTATTTGTACCCTTTAGATTATTTGACTAGGTAGAGATTCTCTTCAAAAATGAAAAATTAAAGATAACCTGTTTTCACACCAAAATGGAGTTTCCTGCTTCATAGGGCTATCATAAGGGCTGGATCAGATAGAGTGAGAGAGAGCCCAGCGTTGTGCCTGGTTCAGGATAACTTCACACGCACCTTTCCCATCCCTTCAGGGCTTTCTTAAAAAGCTGGGATACAGTACACCCAGATACAGAATGGTATTTTTTCCCATTTTCTGTCTTGACATTGGAGAGTAGTAATAGTGAGGATTTGCCAAAAGGAATGACTTCGCCCTCCACCTAACACCTCACTCTTCTTGTACCCACAGAATTCTCCCACTGAAACCAATCTCACCAACCCCTGCTACCCTCGGAATTATAGCACCACCTTCACTGTGGACCACGTATTTGACAGCCTGTGCACTGAGAAGCAGAGGCCAACAAGTTACGACCCCAGTAGCCTCATCACTTTTGAAGGAACTGGGAACCCATCACTGTGTAGGGAGAAGGTGGCTTCCATATTTGACTTCAAAGCTTGCCATGATCAAGAAGGCTGTTCCTTTGATGGGACTTACCAGCCAAAGGTTCAAGGGCCATTTGTGGTAAGAGCACAACCCCCTGAAAGATCTCTGTCTGTGCCTGTAGAATATATCTCTCTCCCCTTTCCATTTCTGGTACCCCTTTCTTCTTCTCCGCCCTGAAGCCTCCATGTCATATTCCATTCTGGAAATTTCCTCTCTACTTCTTCCAGGCATTTGCAGGATTCTACTATACAGCCAGTGCTTTAAATCTTTCTGGGAGTTTTTCCCTGGACTCCTTCAACTCAAGTACATGGAATTTCTGCTCCCAGGATTGGAGTGAGGTCAGTATTTAAAAGAAAGGAACAGCCAGGTATGATGATGCACACCTATAACTCCAACAGCTTGGGAGGCTGAGGCAGGAGGATCACAAGTTCAAAGCCAGCCTTAGCAACTTAGGCCCTAAGCAACTTAGCAAGACCATATCCCAAAATTAAAAATAAAAGGGGCTCTAGCTCAGTGGTAAGGCACCCCTGGGTTCAATCCCTGGTGCGAAAAGAAAAGAAAAAAAAAAAGAAGGAACAATGTCAGTACAAGAAATATAGCAACAGAGCATATTCCCTTTGCGTGTATATGTGTGTTTATCCTGAATTTAGTGTTTGTGCTCTTCTATGTCCATGTCTATAAAATCTGGGTAATGAGGGAACCTACTTCACACCCATGTCATGGATTAATTTTTTAACCACATGCATAATGATAAGGACAGTGTTCAGCACATAACAAGCACTCAGGGGACTTAGGGATTATTATTATGTGACCTTGTATAGGTTTTGTTTAATCACTATATTACATAATCCCATCATTATTTAATATAGCCATTTTTATTACAGAATTCTGGGTGATAAGGTTTTTTTAAAATATGACTGTTAACCTTAGGTGTTCTAAATGTGCATTGTAAAGTATACCTGCCCACTCCTCCTCTCAGATGTCTTAAACCTCCTTTTCAGCTCCCATTCCTGCTCCCCAAATTTGATGAGGTGTATGCCCGCTCCTACTGCTTCTCAGCCCACTACATCTACCACTTGCTTATAAATGGATACAAATTCACAGAGGAGACTTGGCCCCAAATACGTTTTGAAAAAGAAGTAAGTCAAGACATAAGACTGTTTTCTCTTCTTCCTCCCCAAAGAGAGGTTTGTAGCATTTGTGGAATGTAGACAGTAAAAGGATATTAGAGATTTAAATTTGCTGAGTACAAGCTGATCAGACTGATCACTCCTGACCTTCCTGGGAGAAGACACAGTGGAGACCAGAGTTGCTTACAGGAGACTGTTCCAGTTGAGGAAAGGACTGGAAGGCAAGGGCCAAAGCCTCACTATCTTTATATACCCAGCCTTCAGTGCCAGGGCTAGATCCTGGTAGTTGCTTGGGAAATGTTTGTTGAGTGACAACTAAGTATGTTAAAGATCTGAGCCTTTCCATTCCTGAAAAGAAGTTCTAAATATAACTTGATTTTCAAGAGGATAATAACTAATTGTTCTTCATTTTACACAGATGTCAGATTAAGAGCCAGGCTTCAGAGCATGCAGGATTTACACTAGCACATTAGCATGAAGTAAGAAGTTTCTCTTTAAATGAGCCTAGGGTATTTAACTGCCAAAGACTTTAGGGATGGAGAAGATTTTGGCTCAGTGTTATTCATAGACGGACAGATAGACAGGAATGAGTATCAAGTGAACAAAATGTTTAAAAACTGTAATGGCAGCTATCACGACCACACCTTATTCTCAGGCAGGACTCAACCTTGGGATACATTTAGCCATCATTCCCCAATTCTGAAGGACTTTCTCATTTCAGGAAGGCTGATGTGGAGCCATAGTCAGTCTGTTCAATATCAGCTTTGGCAATAATTAGATTAAACTAATCAATATCCTGCATTAGGCCTGTGACTGTCTATTTTCACATAAGTAAAATTGAGTCATCTACAAAAAATACAGGGATGTCTGGAATCAAGTACTGTTTGTGGCATGTACTCTTTAAGCTTTGCTTCCAAACAAATCTAATTACCAACAGGAAAGTACATTAAAAGAATGGAGAATGGCTTTCTATTGAATATCAATTTGAATAGAGAAAACATGCTATGTTTAAAATTCTTTCTGCTTAAGAATTGTTTGTGCACCCAAGCTAGTGTTTAAACATGAGGGTATAAAAAGACTTTGGAAGATTTGCCACACAAGGACTTAAATTAAAAATATTTTTTTGGAAACAGCAACTAACTAAGAAGAGAAATAAACCCAGGAGATGTTACAAAAATACTGAAAGTAAAAACAAATGGCATTTAAAAAATAAAACTAACACTGAAGTAAAAGAGAAAAGCCCATCCATATAACCCAACTATAGAAAATCTCTAACCTGTTAGAGGAATGGTAACAGGTGACAGTAAACAGGGACATAAGAATAGCCTAAAATTCTTGTTGTGTCAAGGAAACATACAGATATTATTTTTAAGGCAAGAAAAGAGGGAAAAATAATATGGGAAAATAGCATTAGTAGGAATCACTAACGTAAGATATTGTAAAGAAGTCCAAATAATATCAATATATCATCAGTGGTTTAAACCCACCAATTGAAAGACAGACATTGTCAGGTTAGATTTTTAAAAATCAGTAGATGATTTATAAGAGAAACAGTTATACTTTAAGCATAAGCATATGGAAAGAATTTAGAGTTTAAATTTTGTTTTCAATCATCCAGCAAATGCTACCCAAAAGAAAGTTGATATTGTTATTCAATATATGACAAAATGCTCTTTAAAACAAAGAGCATCATTTCAGATGGGGTTACCCCCAATGAAAAATAACTCCATTCACTTTGAATGGTGCAAATTCACAACATGTATGTAAAGCAAAACTAGATGGAATTACCAGAAGAAGTTGACAAAGTTTGCTTCCCATTTGGACTCATCTCCTGTGCTTAGAACCTCCCTGGGTTCAGCAAATTGCTCATTGTCTTCTTGCTTTAGTCACAAACACCCCTGGGCAATAGGAATGCTTTCACTATTTTTAACTGTCCCTTTTTTAGGCTATTAGAATTCATTCTTCCAACTGTTTTCTCTGCAGTGCTGAAGGTGGGACTCCCAATTCTTTGTAGTACTGTGTGGTGTCTGAACACGGGTGAGCCCTTTGACCTCCTCAGGCCACATTTCCCTGTGCAGGCCTTGCAGGGTATACAGTGGTGTGCCCTGGTATAGGATCCCAGCCTGGTGCCTTCCCTGAGAACTGAGTCATCTCTTCTACTCCACAGGTCGGGAACAGCAGCATCGGCTGGTCCCTAGGTTACATGCTCAGCCTGACCAACCAGATCCCAGCAGGGAGCCCCCTGATCCGCCTGCCCATACAGCCGACTGTCTTTGTGGGCATTCTTGCCTTCTTCACAGCCACAGCCCTGCTGTGCCTCGCATTTCTTTTGTACCTATGTTCAATGTCCAGGACAAAGAGGCGCTCTGAGCGTGTCTTTGACCATGCAGTGGATTCTGAGTGAGCCTTCAAAGCAGTTCCTGGAGCCCCAGGGTTCCCTAGAACCAGCCTGGGGAGCACCATGCAGTGCAAGTGAAGTGGCCACCTTCAGGAAATACTACTAAAGTCAAACACCTAGGTCACCTGCTGCTTGGATACCGACTTCTGCCAAAATGCCTCTTGGGGAATCCCTCAACAATTCTGTGCAAATTGCTCCTCCAGGCACCCTTCTATCCATTTGTTGATCTATTGGGAAACAGAGGAGAGACAGGCCATCCCCCAGAGGAAGAGGAGTTTGAGAATATAACAGTTTTATATGGAAGAATTGACCTCAGGGCTCAGTTTCCATTTTCCCTCCTTCAGTGTTCCTTGTGGCAAGACACCTATTAAGCATTTAATCCACTCATATATCTTACCTTGTGACTTTCTCCCATTGACCCTTAACCAAGACTTTCTTTTAGCAACCTCATAAGCATTGAAATCCTTCATATTGGTAGAATATAGTATCTGGGAGAGAAGACTCCCCCAAAAAGTGGCCATAGCCAGGCTTCTGTCGTGCAGGTAGAGCACAGAGCACAGAAGATACACAGAAGTGTCCCAAAACACTGCAGCCATTCCCAAAATGGAGCTCCCAGTCGGGACTCTGGTTCCTAGGTTGCAACCTGTGTGAGTATCCTCCTGCACATCTCACCATCATTGCTCTGCCCTCTTCTAGAACTCATTTACTCCTAGTGAGGGTATTGCATTCCAGAACTTATTGCCTTCACTAGGCTTTTGCTTCAGCCTGCCTTTCCATTATTAGCACGTTCTCTGTATTTTGCCCACCATTCCCATAGGCATCTTTGATAACCACGGCAGGCATCCTGTTCTATGATTTGCTCCTCAGTTCTTTCCTAGGTCTTAGGCCTTTCTGCCAAACAGCCATAAGACTCAACTTGGGGAAAGAAACAAAAGCTGCAGGAATATTTGCCTCCAACGTGAGATAAGAAGAACTTCAGCAAGTGTAGTAGCTACAAACTAAAAGTCAACACTATTTCAGATTGTCATTTGTTAGATGAAAAATGGAATAAAGAACTCTTATTTTGACTTTCAATGTGTGCATTTTTTAACTTGAGTATGATGCTCTTTCTTCTAAGGACTCAGGTTGTATTTATGAGAATTTTTTAAAATTAAGAAATGGAGGGGCTGGGGATGTGGCTCAAGTGGTAGCGCACTCGCCTGGTATGCATGCGGCCCGGGTTCGATCCTCAGCACCACATACCAACAAAGATGTTGTGTCCGCCGAGAACTAAAAAATAAATATTAAAAAAAATTCTCTCTCTGTCTCTCTCCCCTCTCTCACTCTCTCTTAAAAAAAAAAAAAAGAAATGGAGGGAATTTTTTAAAAAATCATGTGTTAATATCACCCTTATTCCATAGAGTTCAAAGTAATTTCATTATGATGAAACTCCAGTTGAGTCATACATTTCCCTACTTTAATTTGACATTCACAACTTGCCACAAGGATGGCCTCCCAAACCACCTTTGCTCCATGTCCTTCCCTACATAGACTGTGGGTCATCCTTCCACATACTCAAATAATGCATATTTCTCAATGTCCAGTTCCAGTTCTGTCTTCCATAAAACTTTCCTTGCACACACACATGTGCGTGTACAAACACACACACACATATATGCATACACACAATGATATATATCCTGGACCACTTTCTCAAAGCTAGCAACAGAAATTATTACTTATCTTTTTATGTGTATACATATGGATTTTTTCCAAAATAGACAATAGGATACTAAGGACAAAGCTTGTCATCCGTCACTCACTCATTTATTCAACAGACATCTACAAAACACTTACGATGGGCCTAACACATTGCCAAGTATGGGTTTGGATGTGGATATGTGCTATGAATGTAGAATTTACTCTTATTTGTTGATTAGAGCGGTTTCCATAAATGAATGAGGGATGGGAAATAAAATATAGAGATATCAAATGAACATAGTATCCAAATCACCAAGAGTTAGCAAGAAAAAGAAAAACATGTCTTTGCAAGACAGAGAGTCAAGACTGAAGCATGAAGGTCAGTTCTAGCCAATATGTTTAATCTATTTGGGAACATGGAATAAGCTAATGAAGTATTTCTGGCTTCTTGACACATTAGGCTCCAACCAGAGCAAGTGCTACATCTGAAATATGTGGTGAAGATAAAGACAATGAGGTATCACAAATTGTGTCTACTTACAATAGACACATAAGAAAGGCCTGGGCTTGGTGGTGAAATCTCATGCCGACACAGCTTAGCTAATAAGTGTCTTTGGAGCTGGGGACTCTGAGTTCAGCTTCTCGCCCAGTGAGTCTAAAACCCATCACATCACATTTCCTTTCTCATGTGGCAGCTAGGAATTTAGTTTTAGATTTTGTCTTTCGATATGTCAGTTCACATGTGACAGAGGTGTGGCATGTGGCAGGTGTCATGTCAGAGGGGTGTGAAAATATGTGGAACAGTTGAATATATGGAGGAAATTCAACTCCCTTCCTCACTTCATTTTCAAAAATTATTCCCAGGCAGGTTAAAGACCTTAGCATGAAAGACAAAACTATAAAGTTTTTCAAAAAGAAGGTAGGAGAGAGCTGGGACTATAGCTCAGTTGGTAGACTGCTTGCCCCATATGCATAAGGCCCTGGGTGCAATCCCCAGCACCACCAAAAAAAAAAAAAAGAAGAAGAAGATAAGAGAAAGGTTTTGAGGCTTCTTAAACACTACACAATGAGCAGTAGTCAAGAGAGAACACCTGTTACACTGGATCACATTCAAATTAAAAACTGTGTTTGTCCAGCAATACCATGAAAAGAGTAAAAATACAAGCCACAGGGTGGAAGAAGGCATTTGCAACATGTACTACTGATAAAGGATTGGTTTCCAAATTACATGAAGGACTCCCACATATCAGTGGGAAAAAGGACCACAATCAGATAGGTCTCAAAGGAGAAATCAAAGTGTCAAGCAAATGTGTGAAGAGGTGGTCAATCTCATTAATAGATTGGGTGATACAAACTAAAACTTCAATGAGATAACACAACATACATTTTAGTTTTGCAAAAATTAAAAAGTCGGGGGCTAGGTTTTAACTCAGAGGTAGAGTATGTGCTTAGCATGTAGGAGACCCTGAGTTAAATCCCCAGGACTTGAAGAAAAAAAAAAAAAGAGGTTTGTAGGTAACTGGAACTCTCCTACACTGCTTGTAGGAATGTAAATTAATACAATCTGGAAAACTATGGTATTATTTAATAAGGTAGAAGATAAACATACCAAACAACCAGAAATCCCAGCCTAAGGCATATGCCTCAGAGACATGCCAGTATACACACCTGTAAATCATTTTGAGCAGCATCTGAGGTGCCTATCCCATAACATGAATGAATAAACAGTGATGTATCTATACAGCAAAAATATCATATGCTGATGAAATGAAAAGAACTGCAAATTCATGCTTAATATGGATGGAACTTACAAGCATAATGTTGAGAGTAAAAATCAAGTTGCAAAAAAATATGTCCTTTAATTCCATTTACATCATGTTTAAAACAGGCAAAACTAAACATGCACGGAAGGTAAACTGTAGAGAAAAGCAAGGAGATTATTACTCTTAAATTTGGGGGAAGGTGAGTTTGTTTGGAAAGGGATAAATGGGTGTCTTAGTTTGCTTAGACTGCCATAATAAAATATCATCATTTCGTGACTTAAGATAAATTAATTTTCTTACAATTCTGGAGGCTAAGAAGTCCAAGATCAAGTCCAACATCAAGACTGGAAGTCCAGTCAATTAAGTTCCCTGCCAACGTTCTCTTCCTTTCAAGCCCTTTCTTCTGAACTCTGGGGTGGGAGGGAGCTCTCTGATCTCTTCTTACAAGAGCACTAATCCCATCACAGGGCTCCACCCTCATGACCTCACCTACCTGTAATTATCTCCTGAAGGTCTCACCTCCAAATACCATCACATTGCAGGTTAGGGCTTCCACATCTGAATTTGAAGGACATATTCAGTCCATAATGATAGGGCTTCTGGGGTGACAGTGTGATTCTATAGCAAGGTAGGCGTTACAGGTGTTCCTTTTTTGAATCATTTATGCATTTTCCGAATGGGCTGTATGACCCTATAAAAATAAAGTTACAGATCTAGCTAATGTTTTTCAATCTCTTTGAGCCTTGATTTCCTCATAGATGAAAAGGGAACTTACAAGCAAAACTAAACATACCTACCTCCTGGGATAGTTGGAAAGATAAAATATGACATTTAGCCACTGCCTGGCACAGAGAGTAGCCAATAGATACAAGTTTAGAAAAGTATTTCTTTCAACCATATATTCATTTATTTGTTTGCTTATCATACATTCACCAAAAGTCTACTATGTGTCAAACAGTGAGCTACAGGACTGAGGTTGTAACAGAAATGAGACAAACATATGTCCTCTTAAAACACATAAGATTTGAAGGCCCTCTGCTGGAGCCCTGCAGAAAATCTTTCCATGAGTGAGTTTCTACCAACACCCATCTAATTTAAAATGCTGGAAAAAAAAAATCACTAGTTCAAAATATTTGTAATATTAAAAAATAACCAGATATTGAAAATTTGATTAGTTAATGTTATTAAGGAATAACTGTTAATCTTTGTTGAGGTGAGACACTGGTTTTATTGAATTTCCCCCTAGAATCCTTACTGTTGAGAATCTTGTTGAATTTTTTCCGATTGAAATGATATTCTTTTTTTAAAATTTTTATTTTGTAGTTGTAGATGGACAGCATACCTTTATTTGTTTGGTTTTTTTGTATTCTGTGCTAAGAATTGAACCCAGTGCCTCACATGTGCTAGGCAATCACTCTGTCACCGAGCCACAACCCCAGCCCCTGAAATGATATTTCTGGTGTATCCTGTCAAGATTCCACCAGAACAATAGAATCAGTAGGAGATACATATTAAGAGATTTATTGCAAGGGATTGGCTTACACAATTGTGGGGCTGGCTAGGCAAGTCTGCAAGACAGGCCATCAGGAAAGGCAGCAGGAACCTTTCAGCATGAGCTGAAGCTGCTGGCCATGGCAGAATATACTTTTTTTTTCTCAGGCTTTAAGATCTTTTAACTGATTTAATCAGGATGACCCAGATCATTCGGATAATTCCCTTTACTGAAAATCAACTTATTCAGGGTGTGGTTGTACATACCTGTAATCACAGCTACTTAGGAGGCTGAGAGAGGAGGATCACAAGTTTGAGGTCAGCCTGGGCAAGTGTCTCAAAGTAAAAAGATTAAAAGGGCTGAGGATGTCACTCGGTGGTACAGTGCCTGTGGGTTCATTCCCCAGTCTTGTAAAACAGACAAACAACTGATTATGTGCTTTAAACACACCCAAAATATACCTTCACAACTACTCTTAGACTAGCAAATAACAGAGGACTGTAGCCTAACCATGTTAGCATACAAAATTGATCATCACATTTGTGAATTGA